AAACTCTCGTCGCATGCACATCTCTGGTGGCAGGTTGTACGGTGTAAGAAAGACCGGCCACAATGAATATTGTCTCCCTGACATTTCAAATGGACTAAATCCATCAGTGCATAATCCAAGATATACATTCCGGCTATTACTAGCGAAATGTGGATGTACATTGTTAAAATGTTTCCAGGCTCTTGCATCTGATGGATGAGTCATCTCTCCATCCGTTTGAGTATGCTCGGCGTGCCATCTCATCCCTCCAGCAGTCTCCTCAGATTAGTACAATCTTTTCAATCTGTCTGTGAATGGTAGGTACCACATCCTTTGGTACGGTACCCTATAACGCCCTCGACCTTGCGGTTTGAATCGTGGCTTCTTACAAAATCGACATTCTTCTAACTTCTCATCATCTCCCCAGTAAATCATGCAGTTGTCGATGCAAACGTCTATCATCTCCGAGGGCAACCCAAGACTATATACCAATTTCTGAACTTGATAATAAGATTCAGCAGACACATTGTCTTCTGGCAAATACTCTTCAAACAAGTCTGCCCATGCATCCTTACAATTTTCAGGTAGATTGTGATCGGTTTTAATACTCATCATTCTAGCAGCCAACGATAATTTAGACAGATCTTCTCTACAATCACTGTAAATTGCTCATTCGCAGCTTCTAACATTTCATAAAACTTTTTTGCATCTAAGTTAGGTTCTTCAACTTCATCATCATCATGAGTTACGAATGCATCACCTACCATATCATGAACCCTATCACAATCTACCATTTGTTTCTCTTGGTGATGATAGCTATTTTCATTACGCAAATGATCAACCGGTTTAACCTGAAAATTGCTATTACTACTCCTACCTTCATTCCTACAACTAGCATTTTCTCCATGTTGATACCAAATATAATAATATGGCATGAAACCTCTATTTATTAAATTCTTCCAAAAAAATTCACGAGGGCCTATTTTGTATTGCAGCATTTCCGACAAGGACAGAACATCTTACCACTTTTCTGCGTGAGTGGTGTAGAATCTGCTTGATGCATAAACATCTCCAACCCTTCGAGAAATTCTTTCGTCACTCTCTCGTTATTATCTCTGTGTGAATACATCCACTTCCGCAACTCGAAAATATTTCCCGGACCGGACATTTTTTTTTATCTTTGATCAAGCTTAAAGCTGAATTTTTTTTGGTGTGTTTGAAATGAATCACTAATGGTGGTACTTATAGAAATTTTCGAATCTGAGCATTTACTAGGAAATTGCTAGGAAAAGTAGGTACAAAACACGTTTTAGATTTAAATTAGATATTTTCTATCAAGTTCCTCGCTAATTTGAAGTAAAAGATCATTTCCTCCTAATTTCGTAGTAAAGATTTACTAGGACTTTACGAGGAAAGTATTTACTATGAGCTTACGAGGAAATAGTCTTCTGCCACGTAGTTTCCTCGTAAGTTTACTACGGTCTTACAAGGAAAACGTTTTCTCGTAACTGTACGAGGACTTTACGATGAAACTTGTTTTTCTCGTAAACCCGAAGTAAGTTTGTAGTAAATTTATGAGGAATTATTTTCCTAGTAAAATTTCCTAGTAAAATCTTAGTTTTCTTGTAGTGATTGACTTTTTCACATTAATTAAAAAATATTTAATTTTACATATTTTCTAAATACAATACTTTTACTTATACATCTAATCATATTTCAACCAATAAAAATATATATTATATATAATTAATAAATTTTATATTGAAATTATAAAATGACAATTTTTTTGTAACGAAAATTTTTGCCCTACAACCATATATAAATTGAAACAGAGGGAGTTAATACTTGTATATTGTGTTAAACATATTGTTCTTGTAGTTAGTGATATATTAGTCTTGTTTAGATGTACGATCATTTGTAATGGCATATATTGATGTGACTAAGCATTAGTAATTATACAGTTTTCAATTTTAAAACTAATTTTGGCATGTTCGACTCCATGAAATATAATCTGATTTGAAAGGTATTGTCACACCCGACTTCGTCAAAAATAATATAAATAAAATAGGCAAATAATAATAACATAAGTCTTCATTACCAAATACCGAAAAGTCATCATCCACGTCGGAAATCCACAATACGACATAATATCCGAAATATATATAACGACATAAACTGAAAGTACGAAAATATGAAACGACATACGCGATAAAAGTTTAAAAGCTTATAAGCCCAATAACAATAAAATACGATAAAATATGATAGGATAGGATAGAAGCCCAAATAGCACCGGTCCGATAGAATCACTCCTGCTCGACGGTCTCACCTGCAAGGGGGAAAAGAAATGAGGGGTGAGCAACAGGGCAGTCGCTCAGCGAGGTATGGGGTGCTAAACCTCAAACCACTGAGTACACAGCACTACGACTATGTAGGCCTAGCTCTAGCATAAATCAAACACGGTGATAGAACACCACACAGAACACACGATGCAAATCTAGTACACTAGTCAACTACCAACTGCCAACTACCAACTATCACCCATGCGCTCATAGCACATAGCTACTCCCTGCACCGAGCATCTCCTTATAAGGATATACATACCCGATGCGTTGCTAGTACAGTCTGTCTCTGTACCCCGCACTACCACCCGCTGTGTCGCTAGTACAAACGTCTTTGTACCCCCGCACGAAACCCGCGGCGTCGCTGGTACCTCACTGTACCCCCGCCCAATACCCGCTGCGGCGCTAGCTCAGACGTCTCTGGGCTCCCGCACAAAAGCCGCGGCGTCGCTAGTCCAGACATCTCTGAACCCCCGCCCTCATCACATAGTCCCTACTATGTAACTATATATATATATACATATATATATAACAATGCTCAGCGTCAAGCATTTCACACAATCGTTGAATCCTCTATTATCCTAGTTCCATTTTAACAATCAAAAATAAAAATAAACAAGCAAGACTCGATTCATAGAGACGGAACATGTTTCGAGACTAGACTTTTCATAACAGCAGTACTAAACTAGTTCGGGGTTTAAACGGAGTAGCCCTCACCTTAGCTATGAAGAGAAGTGATGTCTATGAACTCCTGATGCTCAAATAGACTCCAAATCTGAAATCAGATCAAAAAATCGAATCAGAACGGCTTTCGAACGGTTTAAAACGGGTTTCGGATAGATTAGACAAAAAGTCAACTCGCAGGTCAAAGTCAACCCGGTCAATCCTTGACCAGAAATCAATTGACTAAACCAAATCGGTTTGACCTTAACCGATTTCGAATTGAATTGAACCAATTCCCAATTGATTTCAATCCGGTTTACACCTAACCAAAATCAATTAATTTAATTAACCGGTTTAACCCTAACCGATTTCTAATTGATTTTAACCGCCGGTTTAACTAACCAAACAATAACCGAAGCTAACCAGCCTAAACCGGTTCACCAAGTCAACGGTTGACTCGCCGAGTCAACCCGGCCGAGTTGACCGAGTCGCCGGCGAGTCATCGGACTCCGGTCACCGGTCCGGCAAAAAGGGCGGCGGCTTACCGGCGGTCACCGGCGGCGGCACGGCGGAGGCACGGCGGCGGACGGACGGCGGCCGGTTGCGGTGGCTCCAGCGAGGCTCCGGCGGCGCGTGACTCACAAAACCAAACACTCTCTCAACTCTTTATCTAAACCTCTCTCTTGCTTGCATGAAATGAAGCTTTTGGGGAAGAAAATAGGTTTTTATACTAAGTACCTTGGGTCAAAACGATTGGGCTTTGGGATTGGGCCGAAATTGATGAAGGCAATGGGTTTGGGTCATGACAGGTATGCTAAGACATAGCCTAGTTATTTTTTTTTGTTGGTTGCATCTTAATGACTCCTGTAGCTATCGGATCTCTGCAGGCTGCATTGTTTATATTTTCGAAAACGCATAACAGTTATCAACTTGTAATGTAACATTATCTTTAATTAGTTTTATAAAAAAGTTATAAACTGTAATACTTAATTCTAGTAGAAATTCGAAGCAAGAGATATATTCATGCATGCAAATTTATTCATAAGAAAAGTATTTATATTTCCTTAGGTGGACCATTCAAATCGTTGTGAACTTGCTAATAAAAAATTTAATATGTACTGCGGCGTTGTTCCAAAAAAAAAAAAATACTGCGGCATTGAGTATATATAAAAAAAATCACTTTTGAGAGGAAACAATAATCCAAATTAGAAATATATAGATCATTTTATCCTTTTTGGGGTCTAATTATTTTTATTCTGCTTGAAGCGAATAGTAAAATTAAAGTGCAACAAAAAAAGTTTTAACTTTGAGACTGGCAATATCTATTGCAATATTGTTGGTCTTCATAGCAAAGAGATGCGTTGGGGCAGCAATAACAATCTCCTTCAAAAATATCGTCGCAACCGTCAAGGACGCAAGTAGATCTATCGATTTTCTTCGATCTCTCTATCCTCACACCTAAACATTAATTTAAACACACACATCAACCTAACTTTGATGACTCTAAAATCCAAAGAGGAAATTTATAAATATATATATGAAAAACATAAACACGTACATTGATGTGAAGCAAAAAAGGAGAACAAGAGTATGCAGATGATAAATGCATGTGATGATTTCATGGTCTGAATGTCTTCAAAGATATGAATTTGTGGTTTAAAGTTATTTTTCTGAGTTGTTATAAATTTAAACTTGATAAATATAAAGATAGGATATAGATACGATTAAGTGATGTAACAGTATTTAAAGAGAAAACTTTCTCTCTTTTTCTTGATCACGATCTTTGATATTTCGATCGATTTACAATTTTTTGGTTGTTGTCTTTGACATCCATTATACACCTTCTTTTCTTGTTTTTTACTTTGTAGGATCAGCTGTATGCTGCTTTTCTTTTCGTGTATGGATGGCGTGCTGTCTCTAATTTGTATTGCAACAAGGACAGATGACCTGATAGTGAAAATAAGATACTGTGTATTTTACCATAAAAAGAGAATCATTGTATCAAAAAGTAATATGTGGGTAAAAATTAGTTTAAATATATAAGATTACATCAATAACTGATAAGAGCCAACCTGTTAAAAGAAACAAATTGGGATGTATTAAATTTTTTCACTTTTGGGTGGAGTCTCTAAACCAGAATACAAATATATACTAATTACAAACCAATATTCGGAAAAAAAAAATTAATAAATAAATAATCGTGACACAAGAAAAATCATGGAGTATCACCGTCACCTCACTTATTCATAATGAATGTATATAAAAAATTGAAGTACACCTTACTTGGCGCAGCAACACATCGCCTCTTGTTCCCGACGGTTTAAACTGACACCAACCTCTTCACTTCAGCTTCCTATGTTGCCTTTTCACGAACCGAAGAAGCTCGGTTCGAGGCTTTACGAGAAGCAGTCGCGGCTGATCTCTCAGCGATTCTTCTCTGCCTTTCCAAAACAAGATTCTCTATTCTCTTCCTCATCTCTTCTTCCTACATTCCCAAAACATTAAACCCGCAATAGAAAAACTAATCCAATTATCTGATAAAATAAATCATTAAACTAAAATGCAATGATGATGATTTGTTCTTACCTTCTCGAACTTGCTCTTCTGTGCCATTGTTCTGCTAGCTGCTACCGGTTTCTTTACAGTCTTGGACATGGCTTCACCTCTGTTTCTAATTGGAGTTCTAGACTTACGAGCTTCCGGGTTCTTCCCATTGTTCTTCTTCTCACTGCTGGAGACGGTCTTGTCTTCTTTCTCCTGAGCTGTTCCGTTACTCGACAGCCTTGCGTTCACTTCAGCAGAGAAGTCGATGGAATGATCATTGACCAACGAGTCTCCTGAATCACGTTCAGGAATCATACATAGATCATCTGGTTCCCATGAGCCAGACATCTCACGCTTCTCATTCGCCTGACCGTTATCGATGTCAATATCTGCAGACATGTCTGGTCTCCACCGAGAATCATAAACATCATCACTAGTAAGCGACGATGAATGGACCATAAACGAATCATCAACGAATTCTTGTTTCTTGATCTGGTCAGATCCTCCAGATGTCATAATGCAGCTTTCATCAAATGACATTCTCCCATAGTTGCTTTCAGGTTTCACTCCACCATGATGAGAAGTAGTAAACCAATCCTCTCCACTCCCTGACTTCTTCACCAATGATGTAGTAGCATTAGATAAGTCTTTGCTTTCATCTCCGAACATTTCTGATCTTTTCGGCAGTAACATATACTCTTCTGTTGAATCCCTCGTTCTTGAAGCACACCCCTCACTTTCAAACTGATCAAACCTCGCTCCACCTCCTCCATTTTCTATGTGTTTCTGAGATAAAACTATGGAATCACCAGAGCCATTTTTATTGCCTTGCAAACCTTGAGAGCCTCTGTGTGTGAAATGCTCATCCATTGAATGAACATCTGAACCATCATCGTGTCTCATCAGTATATTCTGAAAAGAATCCCAATTTTCATTGCTTCCTTTTGCTTCAGCTGAACTCTTCAGAATCTCATCACCCTCATAAGCTCTGTTTTCCTTGAGGAACCCCACAGCAGCATCTACAGTCTCTTTGATTGAACCGTTCTCAGCAAACTCACCCCCTTCCATGTCTCCGTTTCTTCCCTCAGGGGTTATGTAGTTAATGTTACGGATGATAACAGTTTTAGATGACTTCTTTTTGTTTTTCTTTGACGACCGACGAGAGTTCTTTTTACCCCTGTGAGAATCTCTTTTACCTTGATCTTCCAAAGAGGAAGCAGAACTATCATCGCTTTCCGAGTCAGATTCACTTGATTCACTAGACCCACTAGACTCATCTTTCTTGGAAGACTTTCCCTTTGAAGGCCATGGCATGTTTCCTTGGGTTTGACCTGGCATAGGTTGCATCATAGGGTATGGATAGCCTTGGTATGGAGGCGGGTAATAGTACTGAGGTATATGGTTGGGCCATCCCATTGGTGGTTGAAAGTTTGGAACAGAAGAGGCTTGTTGGTCTACAAAATAAAATAAAAAATTCACATTAGTAATGGACGTTTCGCCATCTACCCGTTAGAAGAATTACTACAATGTACCTTTGTTTTCAGAGCTTGAGTTAGATGAGTCTGTTCCGTTTAGTGGAAGAGCAGCACCTTCATTGGTGAGAATAATCCCTGAGGAACCTAGTAATGACATGTCTGCTGGTGCAATAGCTTTCACAGCTGCTAATTCCGCCATCCAAAGACCGTCCCCATGCTTCTTATTCCATAGTTCCTTGTACTTCACGCATGCTTCCCTGCATAAGGATGAAAAAGGTGTTATTTATTCTTGTAAAAATGATCTTATCGCACAAGAAATGGATAGTTAAGCACTATATATTAACGTACCTTAACCGTGAAGCCCCAAAAGCATCAGCGAATTGTATTAAATCATCAATAGTATCAATTTCATAACCAGCAACAACACCTCGTGCATAAGCCATTGCTTGCTCTCTCCGAAGCAATGTTCTTCTGGTTTCAAGAAGACGCTGAAGCTGAATCCTGTTAAAAAAAAAACGGAATTAGTCAAACCAAGACTTGTTCATCAATAGTTGTATGATTTACCACAAGAAATAAGAGTTACTTGGAAGTTTCCTCTCCTGCAGCCTCATTGCCATTTTCAGACTCCTTCTGTGTATTACAAGTAGAGGAAACCACTTAAATGACAAAACACAAGCTATTTAAATTAGACAGTAAAATTTTGAAAACACCATTACCTTTGTGGACTCACTGGACTTTCTTACATTACTCCCTGAAGATTATAAGGAGAGAAAGAAAAAAAACATTATCAGGAACACTAGTAATTTACAAACTAGCTTTGGCAAGTAAATTAAATAAAAAGCCAAGGAAATGAATACCCTCTTGTATCTGTTCAGCATTGGCAATCTCATTAGCTTGAATAGAATGTTCAATCTGCAAGATCTCTTTCTCCAGAGTCGCAAATCTCTCTATAATCGCAGGCGTGTTCACAAATCTCACAAACCTGCAAACCGAATCGGCAACTCATCAGCAAGTCAAGTAAAAATCACTAAGCAGCATTCTACATTGTTCAAGATCTTCCACACACCAATTATGACAACAATTCAAATCTCAATTTCGAAAATATGAAACAGAATTTTATTTATAAAAAAAAAAAGACAGTGGAAAATACCGATCAAAAGTGGATTTGGTGAACCAAGAAGAGTGAGACGTGGGAGGATGAAGAGAAATTGAGTAACCGCCTTTGGAGATTTGATCTTTTGCGAATTTAAGGTGAGAGATGAATGGTTCGAATATCCCAGATGCCAACTTCTCCTTCTTACTCCCACAGAACAGAACCAGATCGAACCTGAAACATATATCAAACATAAGCAAATATCAAAACAAAGGAGACTAAGCGTCAAGCATAATAAGAAAGAAGAGAGACAGACCTGGTACGAGTAGGAGTGAGTTGAAACAAAGCGGAATCGAGGATAGCTCTGGAATCCATGGAGACAGAAAGAAAGAAAGAGAGAGACAGAGAGAGAATCAGTGAAGACTTCCTCTTCTTCTTCTTCTCCAGTGAAGAAGGGGAAGACGTGAAGGAGACATTTTTGACTTTTAAGCTTTTTTATTATTGTGGTGTGTCGATTTGGATTCGAAGCTTAGAGGTGACAGCAAAGGATGAGTTAAGCTTGGCACATGGGTTTAGTGATCGTGACTGACCAATCTTATTACTTAGTGGTGGCCCCCATCAACCATGTTTATGCTCCTCCTCTCCCCCTTGTCTCTTTTTCATTACTGCTGTATTATCTTTTCTTCCTAATTCAGCTTATCAAAATGACAAAGCAAGTCAACTTGAGAATAAAAATCATTATGAAATCACGACATTCTCATTATAAACAAATTAGGATACATATGTATCTACTTTAACGGTTCTATTTGTTGCCGACAAATAAAACATTTTCTTTTAATTTGATTTCTATAATAGTTCTTAAGGTCAATTAACTATTTCAACAACAAAAATACCATATATCAACAATTGAACTTCATCTTTGAATCCGATTCCGATTCCACATATTATAAATCTTAAAGCTTATTTCTCTCTAATCCAAATAATTAAAATATGTATCCTTAGAGATTTGATTTGATTTGGTTTTAATAGTTTTAAACATAAACCGATACTCAAATCGTTTGTTTTGAGAATAACCTTATTCAATTTTCCAAATAAAAGCCCGATTCAGTCTCCAAATCAAGCTTTGATAAAATTAGAAAATCCCCAGATCAATTTTATTTCTAAATACAAATCCTAAAATAAAATTCCCTATAAATTAAAAGAGAAGCATTGCATTTAATGATTTCACACTACCATTGCCACGTGTCGTTTTAATAGAGCTTCTCACATTTTTATTTCCATATTTGCTTATAGTTTTAATTTTGCGAGCATGACTAACATATTAACATAACAAGAGTTACGTATCCGAGAAATAAGTTGCAGGAATGTCCCATCTTCAAAACAATCCCTCTGAAACTATTTGTATCAATATTAGCTGACTTCTTCACATGTTCAAGCTTAATGCTAACCCCTGAGACTTTCTGAAGCCGGAGTCCGAGGTAGTTCTCTTCACATGTCCTCTGCCATTATATCCTGACGCTCGAGAAGCTTTGGCTCTCTTTGATGGTACGCGCAACTCTCTTCTTTCGGTTCTTATGATGTCTTGGACAACGAAGTGGAGGAGAGTTTTTTTTACGACAAACTGTAACCGATGGTACGCGTGTCTTTATTTGTAACAAGTAGTTTTGTTGGTTGGTTAATTGGTCATATTTTATTCATGAAATGGGTTGGATTGGTATTAGTCTGACTTTTTTCGTGGTGTTGTTGACGTTGTTGAAAGCTAATTTCGAAGTAGGCCTTGCTTTTCTCCGTTGGGAGCAGCTCACACTATGGTGGAGGAGGTGCCGTGAAGATCTAGGAGGTTGGATCATTATAAGAGTTTCAAAATGGAGAGCAATGTTGTGGACATGGAGAAGGTGTAAGAAATGACACATTCTCTGAAAGTAGAAGTCTCTTGCAAACCAGAAGGCAAAGAAGATATCTAACAGTTCAAGCTTTGACCACTCTGAAACGTTTAAGTGGAATATTACAAGCTATTCTTCATTCGGCTTACTTCCCTTTCTATAATAGAAAAACATATAGGTTCTTCTTGCGGATTCAAACAATATATGGTTCTTCCAGAAGATTGCTTTCATAGACAAAGTTGAAGCTATAAGCACTGCATTGAGTGCTATTAGTTAGACATTGAATACTTTAGGAGCAAGCGTCGAGACAAAACATAATGCAATTAGAGAAGTTCTGACTCTGTGAGAAGATTAAGAGTGGGTCTAGATTGGTTTTGCAGCCACTTTCTAAGGTAGCTGGAATTAAAGACGAAACAAAACCGTTAATGCTCTTGCTAACCACTCTAAATTTAAAAGCCTTACATAACAATGTTTCTTAAAATGTATGATAGGCAGGTCTTGCTCTTGGTGTTCTGAACAAAGTTTTTGGACTTGGTCCGAAAATATATATAATGCAAGTTTCTTGTACCAAGCATGAACTTCCGAATAAGAAAGCAATACGAAGAAGCCATAATATGAACTTCATACTCCACGCCTTGCGGTTTCAAGACATAGAAGACATAGCATGAACTTCCCTAGCGATCTCTCTCTTATTTCATGGAGAAGACTCACAATGGTTTCAAGCAATCAGTCTCACCAAAATTAGACATAAAGGCAGCATTAATTACTTTTATAGCACCTAATGAACTCTACGTTATATGGGTTTTGTTTCTATACGTTCATGATTTTATAAGACATGCACTGTTTTGTGATTTTTTTTATACAAAACTTACCAAATTTGTTTAAACTGGATTTTTTTTTATATATAATTTGGTTAAGCCATCGGATAACTTAATGTATGCTTTTGTTAAATCGGATAACTTAATGTATGTTTTATACAAAACTTAACAAATTTGTATTATTTGTAGCCGTGAAAATAATAACTTAATGTATGCTTTTGTTAATTCCTGGAACTGAAGATATTATAGTTTCACATGCACGTCCATTGTTTTTCTCCATGCTTTGATTAATACTATTAAACCGATTAAACCGATACTGGTGCAAAATATCCAATACCCAATCCATTTTAAACCAGAAATATATGTATTAATATAACATTTAATGGTTTTATGTGTTTGGCAAGGCAAATTAATGATATTGAATTTGCAATATTTGCCATTTATATGTTATGGTAATTATATATAGCTTAGAGTGAACGGCAAAGTGAGAATATATGGCATTAATGTCGATTCCGTGAGCCATCTAGCACATAGGACATTAGGTTTACGGTTCCTATATAAGTCACATTCCTCTCATTCATATAATTGCATCTCACATACACTCTAAACCTCTTTTTTTTTCTTTTTCTGATTCTACTATAATGGCTCCGATAACTGCTGTGTGTGATTTGAAACCATTCGAAGAAGGTATTGAATGTACCAAATGATACCATTGATGATGGAGAAGATGACGATGAACTTGGTTTCCAATACTATTGCGTTAAATGCAAGGTGAAGAACCCAAAGTTGATGCCAAGGTAATTACTATTCACTAGCTTTCGTAGATAATTTCTTGAGTACAAATATGTCTTTCTTAATTTCATATGTTGTTGTTTATGTTAGATACAAGTTTCATTTGGCAGTGCTAGACAATACCGGCAATGCAAAATTTCTACGGTTCGACAATCTTGACTCCAGTTACTTCATCGCCCTTGCAATGAGCTAACTGGAACTAATATTGATGTGGTAAGGCAGGTTTTATCGTTGTGAACTGCCACTAGTCACTGTTTTATGTCTTTTAACAGAATACATGTTCAATTGACAGATGCAAGACTCGGATGATCTTCCTTTGGAACTCAAAGTTTTAGTAGGTAAAACCTATCTCTTCAAGGTTGGCAATGAGAAAAAAAAAATTCTCTACAAGAATGACACATACAAAATGCTAAAAATCGTCACCAACATTGACATGATTACCGAGTTTGAGGAGTTGAGTCAACCAAAGGTAGTATAAGAGATTGTATGTTTTATTTTATGAATCATTACTATTATTTGTATGTTTTTGACCCACTTTTTTCTTTGTTTCTGCAGGGAGGAGTGAATACTTTGGCTTTGAAAAATCTGGTAATTTCAGATGCACCAGAGGTATTGTGTTTTATTTTTATTTGGGTTGACCTTTGGTTCTTGCAATCAATCTAGAAGTGTATTTGAACACTTTTTTATATGTACTATATAGGGTTCATTAATGTTGCCTGGAGGGTCGCTCCAGGAAGCTGAAGCTAACACACTCACTCCTGCTAAACGTCGAGGAACAACCGTTTTTAACTTGGATGAACAATATGATGAGAATTCGAGAACAAAAAATTCATGTTCAATTCGGATCAAAAAGGAGAAGACAGACAAAAATGTCTGAAGGCAGATATGTGCAGGAAGACGTTTAACAGAGGCTTTCGTTTTTATTTTGTGTTTTTATTATATTGCAATTTTTTTTACAAGTGTTTTGATTCATGGGTGATATGTGTTTCTCGAACTTCTTTGTTATTCTTAAATTAATAGAAAGCCTCTGTTTTATTATTTTGTTTATTTTTGTTTTATTTATTTATGATGCTTTATATTAACAACCTACTTAAGATTTTGAGTTTTCACCCAAGTATTGCCAGTTTGAAAATATTGTTATTTGGCTTGGATATTACGCAAATCTTAAATATAAATATTACATTTAGTCCTGATTTAAAGCTGTAGGTTGGTTTTGACTTGGATATTACGCAAATGAGTACATAAGCTACCAGAAAACGGAAAAAAAATAAATAAATATATATATATTCAAACCAAAAAGTGTTATAAAAAAAATTAAGATTTTGAGTTTTCACTAAGTGTTGCCAAATTGAAAATATTGTTATTGTCTTTCGAGGTCTCAAGTTATGGGAACTCATGGCCATCTAATGAAAAGGTATTGCATTCTTATTATTGTTAGACTTTAAAATTGATTGCAAACCCATATAGCACATTAGTTTCTGTTAACCAATTCTTTTTTGGTTTTTAATGAAGTATTTGGGCATATGGCATAATGAACCTCTTCAAAGAAAAAACGTTTAGAGTATATGGGTTGATGTTGGTGACTTTTACGTTTATATAGTTGTAAGTATATTTATAAAATATCATCATATCATCTAACCTCTGTTATATATATTTCGAGGATCCAAAATCCAAACAAACTGTCCAATACCTAATTATCAATTGAAGGTTTTTTTACAATACCTATTTTAACCTTTTGTTTTCAGAAGAATGAGATATGCATTTTTATTATAAATGAAATTGAGTTTATTTTATTTACACTAAATTTCTTTATCTTACTAACTGTAGTTTGTATAAAATATCTACACACGTTAAAATTCTCTATCGTATATCAAGATATAAACTCAATCCCTGTAATACATTTACTTATAAACACAAGAATCCATTTCCTGCATTCTTGGATCAACATGAACACAAAGGAAAGATCAACAGCCCTTTCCTACATTCTTGGATCTTTCACCATTAGTCGAAGAATAAATTAACCTACAACCAAACCGATGTCCACATTAAACAGACCTAATATCTTTTTATATGCTAAATAACGAAATTAATAATCTCATTCCGCGCAAGGCGCGGGTTATCACCTCGTAAAAACACTAAAGCAGTCTCATTTTCATTTCTGAAAAACCAAATATATGAACAATGAATTCGAATTTTCAAGTGCCACATAATTCCAACCTACCGACATATTTTTGTAAGGACTTAGAGACATTGTTGATTTATGCAAAAAAACCATACATATTTATGCCATGAACATACATGAAAATGTATAGTTGATGAGATAAGAATGAAACAAGATGTCAAAATTACCTTGTTGAAGCTTCTCCGCGGCTGGGACCTCCGGTGAAGCAACAACTTCACTTAATCACCGATTTGAGTTATAGTTGGGGCTTGTTACAATAGATGAACTAATCGATTGGGAATTAGGAATTTGGGTTATAAGGGTTTAGAGTCGGGTTGTTATGTCTGGTGGTTATTTTAGGCTATTAGATTAGTTATTTTGATCACTACAAGAAAACTAAGAAATTACTAGGAAATTTTACTAGGAAAATAATTCCTCATAAATTTACTACAAACTTAATTCGGTTTTACGAGAAAAAATTGTTTCCTCGTATACGACGTCGTAAGGTCCTCGTATAGGTATGAGAAACAGTTTTCCTCGTAACACCGTAGTAAGCTTACGAGGAAACTACGTGGCAAAAGTCCATTTCCTCATAAACTCGTAGTAACAAACTTTCCTCGTAAAGTCCTAGTAAAACCTTACTACGAAATGAGGAGGAATGGATTTGTTACTACGAAATTAGGAGGAACTAGATAGAAAATATTGATATCACTCAAATGTTTAACCCTAAGGAGTGAATTACTCTCTCAAATAAGAGGTTCATTTGTAGTACTTAGGGATCGAATTCACGAGGAGCTAGGGAACCAATTAGATCTAATAGTTATATGATTAAGCTAGGCTAATAGGTATTGATGCAGTAAATAAACTTAAAAGCAGTAAACAAGATGAACAAGGTAATTATTCAGCTTGACAAGGATTTGTTTGATGGAAGGATGGTTGCTAGATCTAGGGTTTCTATTCAGGTAATCAAGATTATAATGCTATAGATGCCTAACAAGTTGCATGCATGATATATAAGAACTTCAATTCTTAGACAAATTTATAGCTATCGCTAGTTAGACTCGTCCATTGATCTGTCTGCCGGCAATATCGACCGATGTTGCATCGCAGTGTCGGGCGATATGAGTTGCCATCGATCGATTACTCTATAGGAGTATCGATCGATATAGCATAAGATCGAATCGAAACCGTGTTCACCAAGATCATTAGACCACCAATAGCACGTGCCTAAAGGATCTTAGCTTGTACAGGATGATATCATGATGAAGATTAATAAATTAAACTATTCCAGTTCATGATTCTAGTTCATGACTCTAGAAACAAGCATTAAGAACATCCTAACAATGAATATCACAACTTAGCAATCTATAGTTGGGGCTAATCCCACAACCTATCTGAACCCTAAATCCAACAGGTGGATCTATTCAGACATGAAGTTTGTCACAGAAATCATAGATGAATAGATAAGAAATTGCAATAGATATAAAAACCAATGGAGTTCCAGGAGGACTCTGATAGGAGTTCCAGGAGGACTCTGATAGGAGTTCCTCCCTTCTCTCCCAACAAAGAGAAACAATCTTAGAAAAGCTTAGATAGCGTAGCCGTCAACAATGGCTTAGAAATAACATAAATAGGATTTTCAAGTCGTCAAGGTTATTTTGGTAACTTGTGGGCTTCAGTCGGTTATGAAATATAGCTAGCCCAAGTTCTGGCATTCATATCGATCGATATGAAGTGTCTCCCATTGATCGATATACATTCCTCTTCTCGACAGCCTTCTCTCGCGAGGCAGACTGACCACTCTTCAGTACAACGGGCATAACTTCTGATCTAACCGTTGAATTGACCTCAAACCGGTAGCATTGGAAAGCTAACTCAAAGCTCTATCTTGAGTCAAAAGATGGGCTCAATCGCACCATGGAAAGGTCTCCATCAAAATCTAAACATCTGACGCGTATGCGTAGTTCTGCACTTAAAGGCTCCAAAAGACACCAAAATCACCATATTTCTCCAGAACGTTCCTGAACCTGTAAATAATCTAAATAGACTCTATATTGTAGTAAATATATATATGAAAACACCTATAAACCATGGCTAAAAATGGGTAAAATTCATGGTCGATCAACTCCCCCAGACTTACCATTTTGCTTGTCCTCAAACAAAACAGACAGGCAGTCTCTCTGAAAGAGGTTTGAAAATAGCAGGGACTCAAAAGATTTTAAAAACTCAGTCACCATCTCTATAGTAGTGCAAACCAAATCATAAACATCCTAACCTTAGAAGCACATTATACAATATCCTAGTATAGCAACCAAATTCACCTAGTCAACAACTCAACAAATCCTGTCCGACAATCCCCTCTACTAACCTCATTTCTTACATAAAATAAAAGTGCAGGCTTTACCCTGGGAGTACCGATCAAGGAATACATGGATTCAACTCAAGCAAGTTTCTGAGTAAATAGGCAGTCTTATTCTGGTTTCTTTTCTCCCTATATCTTCCTTCTCTAAATCCCAAATTTTCTCCTTTTTTTTTCTTTTATATCAATCCCAATGAACAACAAATGTTCATCTTATTGATCTTTCTACTCTTTGTAGTCTTTTTTGACAAAGTTTAGGCAAATAGTGGGGTCATGGGTAATTTACCTCTTCCTCGCTTCCACAATGTGTGATCATCCCTTTGAATTAGAATAGTGGGGTCATGGGTAATGTACCTCTCCTTCTGCCTCTCAGGAAATCATCTCAATCTTTTATATATATTTTTATGGGATGCCAAAGGAAGGAGAGAAGGAAACCAAAAATTTACAGACTTATACCTTCCAGACTTGCAGGAGGATTCTAATCCCTTGTATACCAAACCCCAAGACAAGTAAATAAGGTCAATATTAGGTTGGAGGTCAGCTTTGGTTCCTTCAAACATTCTCAGCAAGTGCAAACATAGTTGACAGGTTGATCCACTTTAGTATCTCTAGTACTTCTGCAATCAGTAAATCTAAGACTGGTCTAAAGAGTGGTTAGATGATAAGTGATAAATCGAAATAGATCATCATCCCCTTCTTGGCTCAATAAAAAAATTTTGAAAATATTTTAAATAAGACTCATAAAGTAGATAAACGTTAGTAATCCCCCCCAGACTTAAATTACACAGTCCCCAGTGTAACACAGTCGGTGGTAAGGTGAAAATCATAAAGTAGAAGTACGAAATTTAACAAGTAAGAACGATATCCCTGATCGGATTAAGTATCGAGCGATGAAAAAGAGTTACCATCGGTCGATGTAAGTGATGTACTGTCGATCGATATCGACGGTTCTCGTCGGTCGATTATCATGGTAATCATCTACTCAGGTCTATTTTTCTAAATGTCTAACTAAACACACAGTATTAGTAGAACCTCCCCCAGGCTTAATAACACTGTGACCAATGTTATACAGCCTAAGATTGGTGGGAAAATAAACCATAAGGAAAATATTTAACAAAGAAAGACTGTATACCTGCTTTGATGTGAGTATCGATCAAAACTGTTAAGTGGCGATTGATATTCTTGATGCTCTGTCGATCGATGCTAGCTAGTCGTCGTCGATTCTTATGCAAACTCATATTCCTTGAATCTTTTTCCTAATACCTGACATAATAAAACACTAAATGTCTAAAGGTTAATAATAAATAACTAAGAAAACCAATTAATGTTTTTTTTTGAATGAACAGTGATCCTGCTA